AGCAAATCCATCAAAAACTTCTTCTAGATTATTGTCAGCATTTATATAACAATGAAATTCATGGTTATTTCCAAAGGCAACGTGTTCCAGAAACAGGCATACAAGAAAAAATGCTTACCTGGCTACGGAGGCGACCACCAAAGATCTTGTGAACCAAGCTTTTCACGTAAGCACTAGGTGATTCACTTGGTGTTCCTGCAGGTAAGCAACATTTGTGCATTGACTCCAGCAAATTTACCATGTACTCATGAGCATCCTCCTGTCTGGCATTTCGAAACTTCTGAGATATGCCTAATATGTGATCAAGGATTCCAAATTCTAAAAACTACGAAAAAGAAGAAAATACCCATGTTGTGGTGGTTGGGTTTATTAGCCTTTTCTTTTGGAGAGGAGGGGGTTGTGAACAATAATTTAACTTACGACTCATAGAAGCTATGCGGGAAATGTGTCCTCACACTACCAGTTAGTGTCCAAATTCCTTGAATCCTAGATGCAAGGTAAAATTATAATGATACAAAATTTGATTTCTGAGCTACCTGAAACCTTAGTTTGTATACAAAAATTCATATTTTCCTTATATTGTTATGAAAAAGAAACATGCATTGGCACAATTTCAATAAAAGAGAAAGGGAAAATCGCTTCCACAATGTTCAAACTTTAACTCAACACCCACAGTGCATAAAAAATTTTCTCTTGTGAAAACCTATTTGAACTATAGGGAGTAAAGCAGATAATGAATACATTCAAATGTATAAAGCAAAAAATTTAAAACAAATAAATAAATACCTTGCAACTTTAACAGAAATTCAAGAAAGTGATTCACGATAAAACAATATAGGATACACCGCAAGTTTGAGACAAGATCCTTTGGTGCTAAGCTTCTCCCAGTTAATTGTAGGGCAAGGCTAACATGTTTCTGTATAGCGCACAAGGAGGCGAGACAATCTATGTTGTCCAATATACTACATAAAGCATCCATTTTGCCTTTACTCCATATTAGGCAATTTTGAAATTTGCAAAGTTCTTCACATCACATGTCACACAAAAACAAAATCCTTTTTTAGGATCGTAACAAGTGAAAGAGGTTTCGAAAAGAATTTGAACCCTAGAGGTCTATTAAGGCTTGATTGGTCTAGAAAAAGGTTGGTTAACGTGTTTGACTAGGATAAAGTATATATAAGTGCATCCAATTTTGAATAAAAGCGGGCAATTCAAAAGTTTCAAACGATCTCTCATGTTCATCATCGGGCAATATTCTCAAACCCACTTAAAAGATAAAAAGTATAGTCAATTTCAAGCATAGAGACAAGAAAACTATGTATCATTCCATCTTAACGTTGTGTCCGACAAAACAACTTAAAAGATAAAAGTGTAGTCAATTTTTTCATACTCATTCCAAGTTCAAAGTACCATTTGTACAAGAAAGAATCCCCTTGGTCATGAGTTCTTCTTCACAAAAATAGAAATAGGATCCATGAAATAATTGAGAGTTCATTTGTGCAATAGCCATTCCCATCAAATAGGTAGTGGCTTTGATTAAGGGAACCCACCAGAGCCATAGCAAAAGCCAATCTGCATAGGGTAACTGTCACTGTTAGTGGATGTGAAGCTAGGTTATCTATCCATGACCAGATTGAAGCTTGGGTGAAACTAAGTGGAGGTATGAATCGGCTGATGGTTTAGAATCAACAAATAAAGTTGTGACCTGAAAATGATATTCCCATATAGGGTGAGCCACAGCCCAGTAGAAATACACTAAACCAACCATGAACAATGACTAAAAGATTAGCAATTGACAGATGGCCAACACTGATACATTCACATAAATCACATATTTATGTCATACGACTTATGGGTCCAAGTTCCCTTCACTTTCCCTTTTTCAACAGATAAGCATGTGAGATCTATCATTATTTCAACATATATGTATAAACTATATCCCACATTCACAGATAAGCATATAAGCTATATCCACATTCTTAACAGATATGTATAACAACAATATCCCACATTCACAGATAAGCATATAAGCTATATCCACACTTCACAAAGATAAGCGTATAAGCTCTATTTTCACTTCTCTAGACAAGCATATGAGCTGTATCTACGGAGTTCATCCCCTATCTTCTCCCAACACTATCCGGTTTAGAGGTACATCCCCTATCTTCCCCTAAACCGCGGAGTACATCCCCCATCTCCTCCTCTACACATAACGTATACAAACACAATGGTTCTATATACAATCACTCAATACATACAGTTAATGTATTCTATCAACCGTCAAATTCCATGACACACTTCATTGATTAGTTTCAGTTTGCCTAATCATCATGCATTGTCTACAACAATCACGACTATCCTCCACCGATAGCCCAAAGCAATTATTTCTAAACAGAAAATAAATGCACAAATGGATATTCAATCAACATTCCAATTCGGTGTGTGATAACAATTCAACTACACCCTATAACCCCATGCATTCCCAATCTCAACAATTCCATTTCATTTCCTCATTTCTCACAACTAATTATCTCAATAAATCAACAATGTAATTAGGTCATTTTCCATAATTACCAACCCAACCCTTAGGTCCCATTTTCATCAATGATTCAACATTTATTCCATTTCTCTATACCAAACATGCTTCTAGGTTTATTATAAATAAAACCCCAACTTTTGTAAAACAACACAAAAGCCCCAAACTTTCCCAAAATTACCAAACCAACCCCAACATCTCAAAATACCAAAATTTAAAGACAAAATCCATAGAGAGGAGTAGGATATCCCTACCTCAAATTCGGAGCCCCAAAGGAGAAGAAGACAAAACCCAACGTGCTGCAAACCTCAAAATTTTCAGATTAAAAAGTAGCTCTCGACGATCAGCAACTTTTTTGTAAAGGCCAAAGGTGAGCAAATCACTCCTACTAGATCAAAACCTAGAGAGAAGGTAGAGTTCTAGAGTGAGGGGCTCAACAATGGTGTTTTTGGAAAAGTAGAAGAGAGCGTGGAAACCCCCGCTCGAGCGCCACTCACAGACTCCCGCTCGAGCGGCCAAACTTCCGCTCGAGCGTCGAATGCACACTCCCAGAAGTTTTACCGAACCAGGTCTCCGCTCGAGCTTCCAACTCCCTGCTCGAGCGTAACTCACACAACCCCGCTCGAGCGGACAATCCCACGCTCGAGCGCCCAACACTGCATAGGAAATACTGGATGGGTGAAATTCCCGCTCGAGCGCCAAAACCCCCGCTCGAGCGTACAGGTCAAAAACTGGGCAACTAGTTTTGACTTCTAAACTCAACCAACCTATAACAAACCTGCCCAACACATCCCAAAACACAAAAACCAAGACATTAAAGGCCAACAACAACCAATATATATTGACAGGATCCACGGAACCCAAGTCTGGATACAATAATCTAAAGGGAAAAGACCGAGGTCGCTATAAAATGCCTCTTGTTAAAGGGAGGGGGTGACCGGTAATGGGTCGGATTGTTGAATGTTAAAGTGTAACATTGTTTAAAGTGGAGGAAAACTTGTTTTTGAAAACTTGTGTTTAATTTCGGGGACGAAATTCTTTAAGGGGGGGAGGTTATAGCGATCCCGGGTTTACCCTTGTTGTACAGTGATCCGCTATAACCTCCCCCCCTTAAAGAATTTCGTCCCCGAAATTAAGCACAAGTTTTCAAAAACAGGTTTTCTTCCTCCATTTTAAACAATGTTACATTTTAACATTCCACAATCCGACCCATTACCGGTCACCCCCTCCCTTTAACAAGAGGCATTTCACAATATGTAAACAACATATGTACTTTCAACATGCATCAACATTACGCATTTCTTTCCAATTTCAACAATATTTTCAACATAAATAATGTTACATTCAACTTCCATATGAGGCAAGTTCCCAAAACATACTTCCAATAAACCAAACATTTTCAATGTTTCACAACTTAAGACATATATAAAAGCTCTTAAGTTCAACAATAGTTCAAAATCAAAACACGAGATTACATATCAACAAACAAGTCCGGATATTTTTCGCGGACTTCCAACTCACGTTCCCAAGTGGCTTCCTCCACCCCGTGATATTTCCACAAAACTTTTACCAAAGGAATGGTCTTGCCTCGCAAGACTTGATCCCGCCTATCCAAGACCCGAAACGGTCTCTCCTCATACGAGGCATCCTCATCTACCTCCAAATCGGTCCAATCCAATACATGTG